AGTAGGGCCAATTCTTTACTACAGGTCTCTTTGTGTTTACCACATTTCTTACTACTTTCAATTCTGGTTACTATCCAGTTATCTTCTTAAACAAGATTCTCAATACTGCCTAATGCTACTTTGCCAATCACAAATTTACATGCACAATCTTTGTATAATAAAACATTCTATAACAACCACTATTATATATAATACCAACTACATTACAATGGACCTTTTTTCAAAAATTTTTAATTTAGACCTGTATTCACTTGGACTTTCTATAATAAGTATATTCAAATATTTATAGATAAACATATCTACTAGGACTTGAACCCAAAACCTGCTCATAGAAATTGGGTGCCTAGACCACTAGACTGCAGGATTTTAGCTCAGCTATTTGTTTTCTTCTTTATTTATATAAAGAAAAAATATATAGTTGCAAAAACTAAAATACCTATATTATATAATCTACTAAACCAATTTTAATAATTTAATCACTATTTTAATTACAAAACACTTCTCTATAACTTTTTTTTTTTTTAATATTAGGGTATAGTGTCTGCCCAGACTTTTATTAATACTTAAGAAAGTTAATATATAGTAGTGCCAAAATATATATATATTATATATCAGAACTAGGACTAGGACTTTAGATTTAAGACTATTTATTTATGACTAAAATTTACTAGAGCCATCAACACTTCTATATGTGATTAACCTGGATTTATACATCTCTTCCCAACTGCCAATTAGTATTCACATATTTGCCACTTTACTCATATACTTAATATCTTAATTTCCAAATTGGTGTATACCAGGTGGGCACTTATTGCCTCAGTTTGGTGTACTTAGTTCCAACTAGTGTACTTATAAGAGTTTGTATCTCAAGCCATGTAGCTGCCTCTACCCAATTAGGTAAGTATCTCAAGTCTGCATACTGCTATAACTTCTGGTTTTCTGTGACTTTGAGACTCAGGTTTTAACATTGTGAATTTGGTAATGTGTAAATGACTATATTTCCCAATATAGTGATAAGGCTACTTAAACATGTTTTGCAAATACTTCCAGTATCTGATATAGTTAGATAGAATCATGAGGCCTAGGGATTTTTAACAGATGCATTATCATTTTTTATTTATAGTGATTCTTAGCAATTGTAGCTCTCAGTTATTACTGCATTTACTTATATTAGCTATACTTGTATTGGTAGTCCCAAGTTCTCTTAATATTCAAAAACTCCTATACAGATACAACCAGAGCCTGTTAGGTCTATCAACACATATATACCTCTATGCTTTAACTTCTTATTAGCTAGTAAGTTCTATATGTGCCAGAGGTGTTTTAAATCTGATAAGGCCAATTCTTTACTACAGGTCTTTTTGTATTTACTACATTTCCAATTCTGGTTACCGCCTAGTTATTCTCTAAACAAGATTCCCAATGCTGTTCTAGGGGTTGTTGGTACTACCTTGCCAATTACAAATTTATATATACAAACTTTGTATAATAGAACTTTCTATAACAATTACCATTACATATAGTGCCAACTACTCTACAATAGACCTCCTTCTGGAAATTCTATAACTTTTTTTAAAAGCTAAAAAAGGTTTATTTAGTAAAGGAAAAAAGTTTTCTTTAAAAACTCTAATTTGAAAATTCTAAAAACAATAAAAAAATATTTAGTAAATATATTTTTACTATTTACTATATTTTGTCACTAAATTTAAACTGAACATAAACTTGATTTAAAAGTTTAATATTGAATCTGAACTGAGCATGAACTTGATTTAAAAGTTTAATATTGAACCTAAACTAAATCTGAACCTGAACTTGATTAAAGTTTAGTTTAGTTTAGGTTCATAAAAATACTATATACTTTTATATAAATTAAAGTTTTTTTAAACTTTAAGTAAAGACATCTTAATAGCCCCAAGTCAAATTCAATAAACTTTTTTTATTTAAATTTTATATTAGAGCTTCGATCCTATTTTTAAATAGCAATCCGAATTAAATCCAGATTCATTTTCATGCATTTGATTTAAATCCGAATAATAATTCGGATTGAATAAATTCATATTCAATTCGTAAAATAAGTGTCCAACTAATCAAAATAGATACCCGATTGATATGTACTTATATACGTACACACATAAAGTGCCTGATATTTAATTTGCCAATTTTATGTGGCCTCATCCAATTAATTTACTTGTTATTCAAAGTACGCAATTGTACACTTGGAAACTCAAATTCAATCTTTATTTATTTTTTGCTAATAGAAACTTCCGGTAATAATACGATTAGAGATTGTACCCGTCAAGAAAATATCTACTTGGGTATTATTAAATTATTCGGTAATTCGGGTAATTTATTATAGCCATATATTAAAATGTCTGCCCAAGTACAATCTCTAATTATGATTTTCTGAAGTACTATTTATCTTAAACCTGCTAAATTTTATATGATTGGTAAGACATATTTTAGTAAACCTTATATCTAGTATAGAATGATCTTTAAAATTGTTGAGAATTAAAATATTTAATGAATCGCATTTAAAAAAAAAAATAATTTCAAGAACTATAAAGCTATTTATGGCTCTTTACCACCTTTATTATTTATATAAAATGGATAATTCAAACTAAAATTATAATTGTGATTGTCAATAGCATTTTGATATAGTAAGTTAAAATGATTATGATGAGAATTTACATATATATAAAGTGGCACTTACCAATTGTTAGTATGTGATAGTCAAAGTACTATTTTTTATGTTCTGCTTTATCATCATTGTTCCACTCTGGTGCAAAAACACTCATTGTGTTGATATTTCTTTTAAGAAATAATATTTGAGCTACCAAAGTTGGATCTAAACTTGTTCTTTTTGTATTTATAAGGTTACTCACACTTGAAAATAATCTTTCACATAACACTGATGTTGCAGGTATTACTAAATACTTTTGAGCAATCTTAGCAAGTTTAGGAAATTTGCGCACATGTATTTTCTACCAATCTAAAGGATTTTCAGCTTCTAATGCTAATGGTACTAATAAATAAATCGAAATTTCATCAATGGTTTGTATATTCAGAACTTCCTTTTTTCTTTTCATTTGACATTGTTGAAGGTAATTTTTATGTGAGCGTGTCGAAGTATCTACATTAGATGAAGGTGAATTATTTGGCTCAGGCATTACTTCTTCTAACTCTTCAAATTTATTACGAAGTTTCTGAATAATCTGTTCTTTTTTACTATCATTTTCTAAAAAAATCTAAGTTTTTATACTGAGGATCCAACAAAGCTGCTATTAAACTAAGTTCATTTGGAACATCCCAGTAATAAATCAATATATTATAAATATTTTTTTGACCTCTTCTAATATACCTATAAATGATTAAATGATGTAATTTTTGCGCAATTTATATATAAGTTTAGTAATTTATATTTTTCATGTAATTTTACAATATTTAATTATATTATTTAAAATACTGTGAAGCTACAATATATATATATATACTACTTAATCAAAAAAAAATTATATGAAATTTATTCTACTAAAACTTACATTAAAAAAATGGAATTTTTTAATACTATTCTAAATACCTATCATGTTTAACGGATTTTTAATAGAAATTTTTCTTTTTGTAATATTGCTTACAATTTCATCATCATCCAAATCAATTTCCTGTATCTCTATATCTTCTAACCCAAATACCGTATCTTTATTAGAAAATAAATCAGTATTTGTTGGTGCCTCATTTGCTAGTTCAAAAATTATTTCTTTAATCTTTGGAATTACTCGGCTTAATATTACATATGTATTGCTAGAAAATTCCCATGTCATCTCCTCAAATGGCATTAATAAATCAATAAGCTAGTCAATTAAATCCTACTCATCATCAGAAAGAAGAATTCTTTTTAATTTATTTCTATCCTTTTTGATTTCACGATCAATTGATGTACACAAATCGGTCTGAAGTTGAATAATAGCATCTTTTAAAAAATAAAGACGATCTCAGGCATAGTATGTTGAATTCCAATAGGTGGGAATATCTTAAATACAATCCATAATATTAGTATAATCTAATCTCTTTTGAACTTCTTTTAAATGTTCCAATTGTTTTGGACTTTGAAAAAACTGGACTATTCTTTTTACATGTGCAACTAAAATTTCTGCTAGAGCTAACCCTTTTCCAACTGCTAATTGTATAGTATACGCAGTATATGGAAGACATTGAATATTTTCACAACCATCTTTTTGGTTTAATAAGGGAAAAGCAGACACTATATTGCATCCATTATCAGTAGTTATAGATATTATGTGATCTTTAAGACCCCAAAATTCAATAAATTTATACAGTTCAGTAACAATAACTTTACTAGAATGTGGAGCAGAAACATATTGATTCGCTAACATTATATCTTTTATTTCAAAATTTGATATAATTCAGGTGCCAGTAATACCTAAATATCTATGTTTTGCTTTACTAGACCAAAAATCCATTATGAGAGAAATTTTATCTACATTTTTAATAAGATTTTTCCAATTATATTTATAGCTTTTGACGATTATAGTTTTAATTTTTTTTTCCCTCGGAACAACAAAAGCTGGATCAAATTCAGCCATTTTTCTTTGTAAGAATTATCAGTAACTGTGGAAAGAGGCTGATTTGAAAGTATCATCCATTTAAGAACTGCTTCTTCCTGTCTTTTCTGAATATGTTTAGGATGAGGATAAACTTTTCGCACAAAATCAGTAATCTTGGAATTGCGTAGCTAAAATTAAAAGTATTAATAAAAATATTTATTATATTTGTTTTTACATTATTATATTTACTTTTTTTGAAGCTTCTATATCATCATCTTATGAAACAATTCCATGTTTGTCTCTAAGATATACTATGAGATTTCCAGTTGAGCTTCCCACATTTCTATATACCGTATTACATCATTTTCCATTTTTATTCAAGACCTTGCAAGCTCGTACATCTTCACCCTTAGTATTAACTGTTTTTTCGAAGTATTCTTATGTAAAAGATGGAATTTTACATTTGTATTGTCTTCTACTTTTGGAGCCAGTAGACTCTTTTTCTAAAAAAAAAATTTAACTATTAATTAGATACATTTAGACTTCTAGTTTATCGCTATAATTTATTACTATAATTTAATACCTTTTCCTTTATTTTCTAAGGTGCTAGGCAGTGTTTCAGTAGTTGCTAATAAATGAGATAAAGTGCTTGAACTTTCAGATAAATTATCTTGCTCCCAATTAATATATGTAGTTTCATAGTCACTATTATGATAATATTCTAAATTATCTGAAGTAATATCTGTATTATCTGTCTCTATTTTGTCCAAATTATCAACCATCCTTGTAAATTTTTTTTCCAAAGAACTAACTAGTAAATTAATTTTCTACATATCTAGTGCTTATAAATCAGCGAACCCCTTATTACATCATTTTTACAAATTAATCTGTCTATGAAATTCTATTTTCATATTTGTAATCCAATATTAACTCTCATAAAAGTTTACACTAAAAAAGTTATTAATATATTCCAACTTTTGATGTTCTATTCATCTCAACTCTTTCTCTTAGAACCTAGTTTGTTTTATATAGCTCTTAATTATCCCAAAAAACAGAAAGACATTTAAAAAATATATATAAATAGTGGCTTAAATTTAATTTGATTTTTAAACTTCTACTTATTTTCTATATAGGATATATTAGTGTTAGACTTTCAAAATTAATTGTTTTTCTTATTTAATCAATGCTATGTACTGTTTTATGGCAAATAGTCATTTTGTAAAATACGTTGATACTACAGATTGTTATATCATTCAGCCTATTTACAACTACAATGAAGGCTATGTCTTTTTTTTTTTACTCATGTTATTAACGGCATCTTTTAGACACCAATGCTCTACTCATACTACTCAATGTTTGAAAAAAGCTACTATACGGCACTGAAATATGTATTTGCTTAATGTTTTATAAAAGAAGTTACGTATAGATTACTTATCACTATATTTAATACACCAACTCCACCTAATTTAACCGATATATACTTAAAGTTAAATAAATCGAGAACCAAATAATTCTGTGCTCACAGCATACATACCAAATACCATATGTATATGCATATATATGTATATACGTACGTACGTATTAAATATGCAAGATGTTGATAGTTACTATAATATCCTAGGATTATAATCTGGATAATCCTTATCTTTAATCTGACATGTATTACAGATCTATCTGCTCAAAATTAAAGGATAAGAATATCTGAGTTTAATCTGAATTAACGGATCTATCTGAATTGGTCGGATTACGGATCAAAGCTCTATTTTATATATTTGTAAAATTCAAATAAAAAAAAGTTTATTGAAGTTGCCAAAATATCTTTGTTTAAAGTTTTAAAAAACTAAAAATAGTTTATTTTTTGAAGCTATTTTAATGCTTACTAAGCCAAATTTGATAAACTTTATTTATCTGAATTTTAAAGATCTGTAAAATTCAAACAAAATAAGTTGCTTAATAATTATTAAGATATCTTTATTTAAATTTTTAAAAAATGCATTTTCTGTAAAAATAAAACTATGCTAAAATTTTTAATATTTAAACAAAAGGTATCTTACTACTAGGCAGATTTGTAAAATTTAAATAAAAAAAGTTCATCAAATTTGGCTTAATAGTTACTAAGATATCTTTGTTCAAAAATACATATAGCTTCTATTTATAGATATTGAGTTTTTTAAAAATTCAAACAAAGATATTTTAACAATCAACAAGCCAAATTCAATAAACTTTATTTATTTGAATTCTACAGAATCTTAAAATTCAGATAAAAAAAGAGTTCATTGAATTTGGCTTGGTAAGTATCAAGATAGCTTCACTTAAAGAATAAAAAATTTTTGAGTTTTTTAAAACTTTGAATGAAGATATTTTAGCAACTACAAAGCAAATTTCAATGAACTTTTTTTTATTTAAATTTTACAAATATATTGAATTCAATAGAAAGTTCATTGAATTTGACTTGGTGGTTGTTAAAATATCTTTGCTTAAACAAAACTTTAATTTGTATAGAAGGTATAAATAGCAAATTTGAAGAAATTTTAAAATATAAAAAAAAGCAAATCATTATGAATCAAATGAAAGTGTTGAAATAGTTATTCTAATAAATAAGAAACTTTTAACTTGTTTGTCTATAGCAAATATTTTAAAAATGACTAGCTTATCTGGAGAACAGGAGAAACCGTCGACTGATTCTTTATCTGATGTACAACATATAAAAAAATTATTTTACAATATTCATTCTGCCAGTACATGTTATGATTATAATCTCACATCATTTTTATTATAATAAAGTGGTGTGAAATTGTAATCATAACATGTACTAGAGAAATGATCTAATAATCTGATATTTTTTTTGTATATTGTACTAGTTGTAAACCCATGCAATAATGTACAGGAATAAACTTATAAAATTTTTAAACATAATTTTAAAATAAAATAAATATATAGTAAAAATTATTAAGCTATAAACCTGTGCGATGTATAGAAAAGATTTAATATAAAATAAAATAAAAATTTAAATCTAAAGCAAATTAATTTAAATAATTTTATCTCTAATATAGATTATAATTTGGGGGGTTTTTTTTTTTTGGTTTCAATAGTAACCACTTTATTACGTCTGAATAGTTAAGTATATTACAAGGTAGTACAGAGCCTAGTCTATATATTTTTATATATCCCAGGTCCCTCCCCCCACGGTGTTGCAGTTTCCAGACCTAGTACCCCTATTCATGCGTAAAGTATAACACGGCTGCTCTAAGGTGCCTATGTGTAACCGTCTAGCAACATTTTACTTTCCCTTCGGCCTCTAACTTACTAGAGGGTTACCCTCCGGATCAACAATAGGACATGCTCGCCTATTTGCTGGGGCACTTGTTCCACTCATGTGCCTCACCCAGACTTCGGTAATTTTACGCCATAGCTTGACCTATGTACTTGGGATCAGGGCTAACCATTGAACCTCTTGTAATTAACTTTAGTACCTATTATGCTGCCGACACTGGATTCATACCTCAAGCCATCTTTTAAGATGCTGCCATAACCTGGTCCGTATCTCAAGCTACAACCTTCCCAAGTTAGTTAACTATTACCTACTTCTTGCACTTATTAAGGTTCACAACAACCCCAATACCCACATTTGGTACTGTCTTCTTACCTGGATTCTTTATTGGTCCCTCCTTTACTTCTAGCTGGCAACCCAGAAGGGTTGATCTGCCCAGGCCTTAGGTGCCTGAAGGATGCCCTTCTCTTGGTACATACTTTCGAAGCGTATGCTCTTTTTCTCCGGTGTGACAGAACTTGGCAGTTCGGCTAGTGTGTTCTCCGCCATTAGAACCTGGTCGTTCGGTTCTCCGATCTCGGGCCCTAGTTCGAATTATACATGTCGCACAAACTACAAATCTTTAAAATCCCACACAAACCCAAATCCCATATGGAAAAATCCCAAATCCCAAACTGGACAAATCCTATTTGGGCTGACAAAATCCCAAACTCTGGCCAAATCTCAAACCCATCCCAAATCCCAAACTCATCCCAAATCCCAAACTCATCCCAAATTCCAAATTCCAAATTATAGCTAGATTCCAAATTCCAAATCTCAAAATTCTAAAGCAGATTGATATTTAAAAAAATTAA